TACTGGAAATTTTGGTTCTTTTCTGAAGTTCATATTTTGTTACCCTAAAATATGTTGTAATTACTGACAACCCCCCCTNGACTAGATCTTTCGGATTTGAATGGAGGAGTCATTAATTATTCATGAAGAATCTGTTTGTACTATTCAGATTAATCAAACACACTTGAGTTTGAGAGAATTTGTTAGGAATGTTTAGTGTTTGTATTAAGAAGTTGGGATATTAAAAGTGTTTTAGATTTGTCCCACATTGGACAACATCTCTTCTTTCCTGTTTAACATGAAGGCTGGTATAGACCAAATCCAAAAGTGGTATTAATTTTCCTCCATTTTGCATTTCACATGAAATGGAAGTTCTGCTAAAAAGGATAATGGAATACGTGAAAGAGAACTCACTGATATTACCCCATACGCAAAAGCTCATTGGATATAACTATATTCTACACCTATAAATAGATGCACGAATATGCATAACTCCCTTGGTGCCAGAGATTTTGGCATTCCACGGGGATTGCACGGGATCGCAGTTAATAATCTATATGTAACAATTAATCTAAGATAGCTAGAGTATTTGCCCATAAATTATTATCGCTTAACTCATAAGCTTCTATTAATCATGGTTATTAATATCATTACTTTGTCTAATTTAAAATTCTTTTGAGGACTCCTCCCACAATACACAAAAAGAGATAAACAAGATCACATCAAACAAACAGTACATCTTTCATACTGGAAGAGACCATATGCCATAGCAACAACAATAAACAAAATTCCAGTTTTTGCTCCTACGCAATAACAATCAGTATTCAACACTAAATCAATGTTCACCACAACTTTCAGCATTCTAAACAGCCCAAACAGAGAACCTTCAACTAGAAAGAAAAAGAGAAAGAGATTCTGGTTTTAAGCGAATAAGAAGAAAGAATCTTCAGAAGACAGAAAGAATAAACTTACTTTGCCGGATGATATTGCCGGTTGATGCCAGCTGTAACGATCCGACCGGTCGTTTTGGGTTCTAGCGCGCCGCTCAGCGGTTTGGAGCCTTGGGTAGCTTCACTTCATGTATTATTACTTGTACGCGTAGTCGGATCTGAATTTCGGGAAGTTCAGAGTTGATTCGGATGGAAAATTCTCATTTCGAAAGCTTTAAGTTGGAAGAGTTGACTAAGGTTTGACTTTTGAGTAAACGATCTCGAAATCGGGATTTGATATTTCCAATAGGTTCGTATGATGATTCTGTACTTGGGCGTATGTTCGGGTTGAGTATCGGGTCGCCCAGGAGCATTTCGGCGCTTATTGTGGAAGGTTGACATTTTAAAATTTTTAGAATTTCCTAAGTTTGGTTTGAGGTGGATTTTGGTGTTATCGATGTCAGTTAGGGGTTCCGAGCCTTGGAATAGGTTCGTATCGTGATTTAAGACTTGCACGTAAAGTTTGGCATCATTCCGGAATATTTAATTATGAATCGGACGCGTTCGTCAAAGTTTGAATGTTTGAAAGTTGAAAAAAGGTTTCAATCGTCGATTCGTAGTTTTGATATTGTTTGGTGTGATTTCAGGTCTCGAGCAGGTTCGTGTTATATTTTGGGACTTGTTAGTATGATTGGACGGGGTCCCGGAGGCCTCAGGTGTGATTCGGAGTGGTTTCAGACCATTTTTCCTTGTTTTACAACTGCTGGTGCTGGTGTCTGGTTTTGTTCTTCGCGAACGCGAAGAGTCTCATGCGTTCGCGAAGAAGGATTTTGGGGCTGCTGGGATTTGCTCATCGCGAACGTGAAGCCGGAGTCGCGAATGTGGAGAAAAGCCTGGGGTAGCCTACGCGTACGCGACTTGGAGGTCGCGAACACGAAAAAGGAAGGGGAGCTAGGGCCTGACAGGCGTTACGCCTTCGCAAACGCGGCTCGTGGCCCACGAACGTGAAGGGCAGATGTCAGAAGGCTTTGCGAACGCGACGTGGAGGTCGCGAACGCATAGAGGAAATTTTGGAGGCCGTGATTTTGGTCTTCGTGATCGCGATGGTTTAATACGGGACTTAGCCCATTTCTCTCCCATTTTTCATTTGATTGGGCGATATTTGGAGCTCATAGAGGGAATATTTTCGTCATTTATGTCAAGATAAGTAATTCCCGCATATTGTTAGCTAACTACATGGATTCTACAAGGATTTAAAAATAGAAATTAGTAGAAATTGTTAGATTTTGAAAGAAACTTAAAATTTGGTATTTTTTGATTTTGACCACGAAATTAAAAATGGAATTGGGAATATATTATATTATTAAATTCATAAAGTTATGGGTAATGTTTATCTTCGAGGGTTGACTTTGTTGACTTTTCGAGTAGAATTGGAAAGTGTTATAAATTAATTTTTTAAGCAAATAAACCATTAGGTTATTCACCTAGCAGCTGTTATATTAAATAAATCCCAGAATGGGTCCGTGAATTATAAATTGTTCAAATGAATCAAAAATATAAAGGTAATCACACGACTAGTGCTAGTTGTTACAAAGTAGCAACAACCTATAGCAGTAGTGCATGTAACAAAATGTGTATTTGAAGACTTCCAGTCTGAATTGCCGCTTTTGCCTTGGCACACCAATTGCAAACTAATATGTGTAGCACCTACAACGCTCTCACCAGGCGCCGTTGTTTGCAAACCGAAGGAAAAAGGCAAGTATGAAGCCATAAAAGCTGCAGCAAAGTAGATTGGACATCTTTAATGGAGTCTGGAGGAACTTGAATGCCATCGGCTATGGTGAAATGATTATACTTAATGCTCAATGTTGTTGATCCTGCTTGATAGCTTTGGAATCCAACTCAGTGCGCATTGAAAACACTCCAATACTATTGGATAATTATCCAATAATACATGACACGATTGATGATGTAGCATATTTGAAGTGAGGTGTGATATAAGTACACAGTGTCCATATGAATTCCAAGATTTGTATGCTCTTGTCAGTGTTGGCTGAGTTATGCAGCGTATGGAGTATACGATCTCGTATCAATGTGTGTTCCATACTTAGTTTTCTACTTCCTTTGCGTGGTTGAGGCATTTGAACATCATATGTTTGGGGAGCATGTTGTGTTGCTGAAACATCCATTTATTTGCTTCGAAATAACCACAAGAAATGTGTTTTTGAAGGCATGTATCTTACAGTATTAACTGTATTCAATCAGGTGCCCTTCTTCTTGCAGTCCTAACCCTAAGGTTAGGTAATTATGCATTGTCTTGGTTTATTAAAGTCTTTCCTGCCTTTGGTAATTCCTGAAATGATTGATATGTTACAGGACCTGCAAAAGAAAAAGCAATGTTAGCTAAGTAGTCTGCTACAGAGTTGCTTTCTCGTTGGACATGTTAAAATAGCACATTGAAATGCTCCTTCATGTCATTGATCTTCTTCATGTCTTTCCCAATACCCTAAGGAACCTCCCATTCACCCTCAATTATTTTCTTCATCACAAGAGAATCTATTTCAATGATGAGAGGGTGGAGTTGTATTTGAACACAGTGTGAAAGTCCTTCCATAATTGCCTTTGCCTCAGCTGCTATATTAGTTGACTGCCTATTCCTTCAGCTTTTGCAAACACCAAATCACCAGCATCATTCTTCACATAAAATCCTTTCGAGCTTGGCCCTGGATTCCCTCTACAAGCTCCATCAGTGTTGCATTTGTACCACCTAGCACCAAGCATCAACCATAGAACTCTTTTGGTAACAACTGGCTTATAGCCTTCAAAATATTTAACCATATTAGGCCAACTGAGGAGTATGCTATACAGCCACTTGTATCTATTCCTTTCCAGGTAGTGTAAGGTTTTTTTTTTATCTCATGTACTATCTTATGAAAGGATATTACACCTCCTTCATACTTCGTTTTGTTCCTTCTTTTCCATAGTTCTCATGTGATAATTGCAGGTGCTTCTTGATACAATAGCCTCAATTTTATTCAACAATTTGCACCCCACCATGATCTGATGACCTGGTGAACTTGAACCAGGTTTATCACTAGTCCTCCAGCCTTTATGAACAACTGCCATACCTTTGTGGCAGTGTCACTTATAAGGAAAATATGTTAAAGAGTTTTCTGTTGTGTATGTATGCAACACCAACACTTAGACACAGTTAAGTAGCCCCATTTCCTCCATATATCATCTGTAGGTAGCTTCCCTCTCCATATACTCCACAAGAAAAATGATATCTTGAATGGTAAACCCCGCGTCCACATCATTTTGTATTCTGGATTTTGTCGATGCCAATGTCTTATTAATTGCCAAGCACTGTTTAGTGTGAATTTGCCTGAAGGTGTTGGCATACATATAGGTGTGTCCCAGTGTTCATCTGATTTATCAAAGTACACTTCCTGCCTTATATGGTTTTCAATGTCTTGTGGGAAGTTTATTTGTAAAATATGATCATTCCATCCAGCTCCTTGTCTCAGTTCTTCTACATCTTCAAATCTTCATTGATGTTGAATTTCTGTGGTACTACATGATAAAGTGATCCCAGATCAATCCAATTCTCATGCCAAACACTAGTAGTACCTCTATTTAACACCCATAATATTTCATGTTCCACCTGATCTCTTGCCTCAATTATTTTTCTCCACACATGTGATCCCTGTCTGAATTGTACCACAGTAGGTTGCTCTTTTTTGCAATATTTATTCCATATGAAATTCGACCACAATAATTTTGTTGTCCTAAATATCCACCACAGTTTGGCAAAGAGGGCCTTTGAAACATTAAATAAGGATCTGAAGACAATCCCTCCTTCCTCCTTAGGCAGACAAAGGTTTTCCTACTTTGCCCAATGTCTGCTCCTCCCCTCTTCTTTTGCACTCCAAAAGAACCTGGCAAATATCTTGTGCATGTGTTCAATGACATTGTTAGGTGGATCCAGAACTGAAAGTATGTGTGTTGGTAAGCTTTGTAGCACACTGGATATGAGAGTGGCTTTACCTTTTAAAGATAACAGCTTACCTTTCCAGGAATGTAATTTGGCTTTCATTTTCTAAACAAGGTCATTGNGTTTCGTTCCATAGTCACCATAGCAGGTATATTGTTAAGAATGTCAAAGTTTGTAGGATTACTTTCCTGTGTGAACTGTCTTCTAAAAAATTCTACTGCAGCTAAAGACATAAGCTCTTGAGATTCTAGCCAAGCACCATCTAAATTTTGAATTCTTTTGAGCTGAAGCTTCTGCCTCTTGCCGTTGATATAATTATGAAAAAATCTTGTGTTCCTATCATCTTCATCAAACCAAGTCATACCTTCCTTTTGCTTCCAAAACTGCTCCTCAAAGCTAAGATATTTCTTTAGCTCAGCTTGAGCTTTTTGGAGAACTATCCTATTCTCAATTGTTGGATCTTCTTCAAATAAAATCTCCTTCACTCTAACAATATCCTCTCTAATTGCAAGCTGCTTGAATATGTCACCATATGTTAGCATACACCAGTGAGACAGGGCAGTTTTAACTCTTTTTAACTTTAGCTTGAATATCAAGAAATGATCACCCATGAAATCTGCAAGCCAGTTCTGCCTTACCACATCCAGAAATGTGTCATGCTTTATCTAAAAGTTAAGAAACTTGAAAGGTTTAACAAACTGCATAGACTCTGCACCACAAGTCATCAATAGTGGTGCATGATCTGATACTGTTCTGATAAGATGCTCAACTTCAATTCTGGGGTATAGTTGTTGAAAATGTTGGTTGGCAAATATTCTATCTGGTCTTTTGAAGATGCATTCTGAGTTTGGTCGACCATTCCACCAGGTGAAGGGACTGCCTTTGTAGCCAACATCAAACAGAGCACAAGAATTGGCATAACAAGCAAAGTCTTCATATTCAGGTGGATAGACTGGTATCCCACCTATCTTCTCATCCTCATCCATTAGAACATTAAAGTCTCCTCCGACTACCCAAGGAATTTTCATATTACTTGTCAAATAATAC